TAGCAGTAGCAGTAGCAGTAGCAGTAGCGGTAGCGGTAGCGGTAGCGGTAGCGGTAGCGGTAGCGGTAGCGGTAGTGGTGGTAGTACTAGTAGTAGTAGTAGTAGTAGTAGTAGTAGTAGTAATAGTAATAGTTGTAGTAGTAGTGATAAGGTAGTGGTAGTGGTAGTGGTAGTAATACTAGGAACACAGCAAGCCAGCTTTTTTCAGGAAAGAACCAGAGGGTTCTTTTTTCAGGAAAGAACCAGAGGGTTTGTTGTAGTGGCTCTTCCATAGCCAACACAGCAGACGAGCTGGGTATTTCCCCCCTCCGGATTCGCAAATCCTGCCCCGGAGATCCTCGAGAATCCCGCTGATCAGGTCGATGTACTCGTTGAGCGCAGCTTAGAATGAGATGTTAGGCTACATTAAGCAACATACCTCAATATACCTTCGAACCACATGTCAAAAATTCCTAATTCTGGCTCTCCCCCACCCTCAAAAGAATAGGAAAAAACAGGAATTAGGAATTCCTAGTGGTGACCCCCACCCTCCATATTCCAATAACTAGGGGGTCCCTGTCTAAACCCAAGTCACTGTTGGTCTGCACAATCTCCGGCTCCTCTTCCGAGGAGGCCTCATAGACGTACTTGGACGACCTGATAAGCGGCTTTGAGGGCTTAGGGGTTAGCGTGCTTGGACGACACAACGAAGAAGTCATGTAGCATTTTCATCTTGGAGTGCTAGGGACCTGAGTCATATGGTAGCTCCATAAATAGGGGATGCAAAGTAGACCCAGGGATTTGGGGTAGAATAACCCCATATAATAACGGAGGGCGGCTCCTAGAATCTCCACAGAATCCCTGTATACTAGGGTTATTCACGGGTATAACCGCAATGACGGAGCACCAAATGGACAAGAAAATGGAAAATGAAATGGCAACTGGGATCATACTGGTGCATACGGACAAGGGTTTCCGCAAATTCGGGGTCCCCTATTGACCGTAGGAGGCTTCAGCATGCGCTGCTCGCCTCCTACAGCTTCATTGCTGCACAGCTCTGCATGTTATTTAGAGCTGCTCTTGTTACTGTAACTCTAAATAACTATTAACATTACTATTCAACAACTACCTATTTACTATCCTTATACCCCACACCCTTAACCCTGAACCCCAAGCCCTGAACCCTAGACTTTAAACCCTAAATCCTGAACCCTAGACTTTAAACCCTAAACCCTGAACCGCCAAAACCATACCAATTGCAATTTGTTCGAGGTGCTTGGCCAAGTCCCAGAGAAGATTGTCCGCCTGGGCTGCTGGTAAGAAACTTCAATGATGTTACTCTAATAGATTATATAGGGTAGATATATTGGGGTTATATAGGGATAATGGAAGATAAAATGAAAACTACTATTTAGGGCTTAGGGTTTCCTGTTGGGGTTGGAGGGTCAGGGGGACTTACTAAGTAGGTTTATAATGGGGATAACTATGGCTGCTATATGGGTTATAGGGGTTACTAGCCTGCTTACTAAGCCCCCCTGACCCTCCAAGTACTCTATAACAAGGAAACCCTAAAATGTAGGGTTTAGGGTTTGTGGCTTCAGGGCTCAGGGTTTTCGATATCTCCGCATTTTGTACCCTAAACCCAAAACCCTGTACCCTGTGTACCCATATTCTGGTATCTTAGACCCTAAGCCTAAATACCCATATCATGGAAAGTTGATTTAAGCTCTCTAACAGCAACCCAGCCGCAATGACGTCCACCGTCAGCTGACGATCGCCGAAGGCGTTGGAAGCGTCGTTCACAGTGACCAGGTTCACGCGCAAGGCCTGGTTGAGTCGGTTTAAGGTTGGGTACTGCCCCTCCCCAGTAACAGTCTATATTAGGGGTCCTATTAAGGGCTATATACAACCATATTATAATTATTATCCAACTGTTACTGAGGGGGGGCAGTACCCAAGTTTAAGGGCTTAAGGACTGGCTAAGGGGTCAAATAGAAACATATAGGGGCATCTCTAAAGGGAGAATGGAGAAGAAAACGGAAACGGTTACTTAGGGCTTAGGGTCTAGGGAAGAGGGTCGAGGGACCCTAGGGATGTGTGTGAACTAAGGAGGTTATAGGGGTCCCCCTTCAGGATTATGCAAGGCTTTGAAAAATTTCCCTTGTGGTGGGGTGGGATTTGTGCCTCTGGTCCCAGAGACAGGCACATTGTCAATTTCCAAAAGAAACCCATACGGGTTTGCATCAAAACCCTACCTCATGGAGGGCCAATTGGCCCGGAGCGTCAGACTGCTGTGGCCCGTGCTGTCAAAAGCCCTCCTGAATTATTACTGGGAACGCTCGGCCACCCTGCCAAGCCAAGTAAAAGGAATGTTGGAAGGCTCAAACAACATCCAGGCCTCTGTGATCTTGACGCACGCATCCAGCAGCTCATTCACCATGCCCTTCAGCTTCTCATCCTTCAGCTTGTCGCCAAGCACCTTGGTAGTCTAGGATATAATTCCTATATAACCCCTATATAACCCCCTATAATAAATACAGAAGTTTCCATCTCATTTTCCATTATCCCCATATAACCCCAATATATACTTAGGGCTTAGTAGGCTGCTCTGACAGTCAGCAAGAAGATGCAGTACTTCTCCAATACTCACAGGCAGGGATGCTTCTTTTCGTTTAGGTGAGCACTACTTCACGCGTTCCTTGGCAAGCGTTGCTTTTAAGCAAAAAAGGCTTGGTTGTCTGATGGACATGGATTTCGTCCTGAGGGTTCAATCTGGTAGTTTCCTGAAATAGGGGGAACCCCAATGTAGGCCCAAACATACTATAATCCTTGTTTTCGGGACCCCCATAAGGGTACTCCTGATTTTGGAAAACCCTGAGACCTCTCTATGTATATCTCTCTCTCTCTCTACCTCTCTCGCTATATAACTCTCTCTCCCCAGATAACCCCTATGTTTCACTTTAAAGATACCCATAATTTGTTTTGGGAAGCCCTAAACCCAACATATCCCTATATATATTATATAACCCCTATACCCCCTTTAAAGATAACCCCCTACTGTAATTTTGGGAAACTCCTACCCCTACCTCCTCCAAGGTGTCATACTTGTCCTTGGCAACCGCATCGGTGTAGAAGGAGGTGTGCGAAGCCTCGTTGCAGAGAGAAACGGGTTTAGGGTAAACCCTAAACCCTTAAACCATAAACCCAAGCCCCCACTTGAGTTACCTCAACCTCCACGAAATTAGGACCATCCTATGCTAGTTATACTGTCCTTATTATAGGGGTTTGGCTAAATGGAATTCCCAAAGTGGCTGCACTGTTTGGGGTTGCAGTTGCAGGGGGCCGGCTCGGAAACTACAAATTGCATGTTGGCATACGTCCGATCTGATGGAATCTGAGGAGTGCCCGAGAGGACCAGCAGGGAGATTAGTTTAGAATGCCCTGTGGGCCCTGTGTATCTGTATATCCCTTCAAGCGCGAGAAGTCAGACTTTTGCCAAATCTGGTGAGTTGTCAGGGCATGGTCCCGCTTAGAGTCTGCATTACCAAGCATTATCAAGCACAATTAGCCCCTGAGGATTTCCTCAAGGGCCCTAAACCCTCAATCCTGAGTTTTTAGCATGTGGACTTGGAACCACCTGCCACAAGAAACCCGAATCCGAGCCAAACCTTCAAAACTCTAATCTGGACCCTATACGGCCGTATAAATCTAGCTCCTAAACCCGATAAGCCGGAAATCCCAAACCCGAGAACCTCAACACCTTACATCCACAGCCCCTAAAACCCTATAACCTGTGGTCTGATTCGCTTGCCTCTGGCTACCCCTCACAAAACCCCCTAAATACCCCTACATAACCGCGTGCCCCAAACCCTAACCTCGCTCTGTGACCCTATAAAAATCTATAAAAGCCAATGCCGCTAAGCCGCTAAGCCATAATAGTCCCCCTTGATTAGATAGAATATGGGGGATATGGGGATTTTATTATTATATACCCCAAGCCACATTCTATCTACTATTAAAGGGGGACTACAAACCCTAAACCCTTAACCCTGAACCCTAATCCCTAAACCCTAGACCCTAGTCCCTAAACCCTAAACCGCAGCTAAGCAGCTCCGTAGGCATCATCCGCCCTGCGCTGCTGCCGAGAGCCTCGGCGGCAGGCAGCTGCCAGCCTCAGGCTTTTGGGCTTTTGGCTTTGGGGGTTGATATACCCTGTAATCCCTACATAACCGCTATATAACTCCTATATTATATATATATACCCTATATAATCCCTATATAATTCCTATATAACCCTTATATATTTCCCATATATTCCCTATATATAATCCTATATAATTCCGATATAATCCCTATATATTTCCTATATATTCCGTATATAATCCCTATATAATATATAACCCCTATATAATCGCTATATAACCCTTATAGCACAACAATTTCCATTTCATTTTCCATTATCCCCATATAACCCCAATATATACTTAGGACGTAGGGTTGGACTTTGGGCTTGGGCGTTTCGGGTTTAGGGTTCTTTCGATGTAGCTGGAGATAGGCATCGCGCTCTTGAATTCTAGCAAATGCATCACGCCACCTGCACTCTACGGAACCTGTCCGTTAAATGTGAAGACGGGCCTTGTCACCAAAACGTGGGTTTAAGGTCGGACTTTGGACTTCGGGATTTAGGGTTGGGCTTTGGGCTTGAGTGTTTGGGTTTGAGGATTGGACTTTGGGGCTTGGGGGTCTAAGTGGCTTTCGGCTTGGGTTTAGAGCTCAAATTGTGTAAAGTTCAGGTCGGGAATTTTGACCGGGTTTGAAAGAGTTTTTGTTTTGCTTTTGCTTTATCAAATCGTATTGACATGAGCTTTCGGGATTAAGGTTTAGGGTTAAGGGGGCTAAGGGTGAGAGGATGGAAAAATAAAAAAACATTCGACTATACCGGAGAATCAAATGGAACATCTAGATAACTAGGGATGATGTATAATAAAGGGTTTGCCCTCCCCCAATCGTAGACCCCCACCACCACTACTGATAATCATGATTCTCCAAAATTTATGATGGTAATTGGCGGGTGGTTCTTATTAGGGAGGGTGGAGGTTTGGTATTAGGGGGAGGTGACGAGCGCCGAAAGCTTAAGAGTTTATAGTTTGTTGAGGGCGCTCGGCAGGCAAGTGTCAAGGAAATAGATATTTGTAAGAGCAAAACTCCTAAGCCATAAGCCCCAAAAACCCCAAACCCCAAAGCCCAAAACCCTAAACCCCAAAGCCCCATACCCTAAACCCTGAAGGATTTAGTGTGTAGGGTTCAAGGTTTAGGACTGAGGGCCTGAGTTCAGGATCTGCAGTAAGGTTTGGCTTTCGGGAACAATTGATCCTTGTTACATGAATATATGGAAACCCATACCCAAAAACGTATGAAGGATCCCTGTCATTGATCCAGGCTTGAGATTGGGGATTTCGTGGCAAGGGCGTACACGGCTTCAGAGGGATATGAAGGGTATACAGTCATGTTGGGAGCTCCGCGGGGATTTTCTAGATGTTGTCAGGAGTATTGCATTCATCCCATTGAGTTTGTCCTTTCATCCTGCGGAAAGCCATATCACGTACACAAGGACGTGTACGCGTACATCAACACCTACATTCTTGGCACCCACCCAGACCCACATTTCGTGCGAATACCTGGTGGCTGAGCTATTACCTGAAAAGCAAGAACAACAGCGTCCAGGGACAGTTTAGGGGTTTCAGGGGCTGCCGGGTTCTAGGGGTGTAGGGTCATGCTGTAGTACAAGGTACTAATCGTAATAAACACCACTAATCGGAATAGTGAAGGCAGCAAGAATCATAATAATGCTAGATTCAGCTAAGTCCGGAGACTCAAGTGTGCTCTATATACACCAGCTTTGGGCGAGTTCAGGATCTTCAGGCAACACATACCGCCACTGATAGAATCCACAATGCATGAAAAGCTATCTCCAGCACCAAAACACGTCCATATGTGTACTTTGAATGGCACATTCCCGCTCATAAGGACCCCAGAACGGAATGCTGAATTCGGAGAACTCTTGACACATCCCTACATGACCCGACAATTCTAAGTGCCCTAAAAACTTTGGCAATTCTGGGCAGTTAGTATCTGCAGGTCATTCATAATTCTGGTATGAATAGTTTTGTGCCCTTAGGACAAGCGGCCCAGCTGTGGCCACAAGAGCAGCCCCGGCGGTGTCAAACTTGGCCCCAGCGGTGGTGGTGGCGCTGGCTGCACTTGGGATTGCGCGCGGGGCGGCCTGAGGAGCACCTGAAACATGGGCTATAGTATATTATAGTTCTAGTATATGATAGAATATCATAATTATAGTATATGAGAGAATTATATAATTATAGTATATTTTTGTATATTATAGTTCTGGTAGATTATAATGTATAATAGTATATTATAGTTCTAGTATAAATATTATAGTATATTATGACTCTAGTATGTTATAGTATAATATAGTATATTATAGTAAGAGGAAGAATACTAATAGTAACTGCAAGACTTATACGGGTAATAGTTGTGGTTGTGGTAACAGGAATGATAGTGAAATACGTCAAACTCAGAGGTCCCTTTTCATGGTGCCATAGTCCTGGGGACGAAAGTTTACATTAGAGGCATTGTGAGGTTGAGGCTTTGGTTGTCAAGCAATGGGTTGTGAGACTTGGCACGAGCTTTTCTGGGAGAAGTTCGCATTTCTTGATGGCACCACCAACAAGGGCTGACACGGCTCTTTGGGGTCTCAAGAAGTTGCTTCAAGACGTCAAAGGGTAGGTTCTGATGTTCGAGGCTCGTGCATTCAGGCCTCTCTCCCTCCCAGTACCCGGAGCAAACCTGAATCGTCAAGACATCTAGAAAGATGGGCATCTCCAAGAACAAGATTTTCTAAGACAGACTAGCCGCCCAAGTAGTAGGAGAAGCGATTCCAAAACATGACCCTTCACATGAGTGACCTTCAAATGAAGACCTCGTGAGACATTCCGCTGCTACTGCATTCTTGCGATCAGAAGTGCACATGTGAGCTTTTGCCTGGCCTCCCAGTATCCCCCTTATGAGCCCTATAATACTCCCTTATATAACCCACTGCAAGGAATTTAGACTATAGCTCAGGTCATTGCCGATGTACTTGCAATGACTCCTGCAGTTGAATGCTGACAAAAGAAAAAAGATACTGCTCGTCATCGTCGGAGGATTCCCAAGTATGACTCATGTGAGAGGTGTTTTTGGTGATTCATAACCCATTCAAAAATATACTATTCTCATAAAATCTCTTCGCAAACAGAGGATACAAGAATACTCAACATTAGGGACTGGGACCACTGCACTCCTTTTGAAAACCCTACTCATGTGACAGCCTGCCTGAAGGCGCAATGAAGGCCAATGGGCTTGCGAGCACCGCAGCCCCAACCACTGCTTTTGCGCGGGACATCTTGCAGAAACTTGCTGAAGAGATGGTCCTGGAAACTTTGGGCGTCTACTCGCTCTGTTGAGCCTGGCCGGCAGATGAAAAACGTCCACCACTTATGACTGCTCCTTTCTGGAAGCCAGTGAATAGCTCAAGGTGCTGAGGGATTCATAATTCTGGGAAGCCCCAGTTCAAAGACAATAAACAATCAGGAAAGAATAGACGAAGCCAGCTGCTTGAAATAATATTAGCAAAGTGTACAAGTCATATGTGGACATGTGAAAGGACCCATGTTTGTTCTGCAACTGCTCTATGCTTGCAGATGAGAGAACAATATAGCCAGCAGGAAATACCCATGCTAGCACACACAAAAATCTACTGAAGGCCCGGCAGCAATTTAGTAGTTTCCCTCTATGTCACTATTTACCCCCATTGACGCCTATAAATCCCTATAATCCTTGTGGTTTCCATTTTCTTTTCCATTATCCCCCATACTACCCCAATATAAGACCTTATAGTAGTTTCCATTCTCTTCTCCATTATCCCAATATTAGTTTAGGGGGAGGGGAGCACTCCGAAACTCTAATCCCCTAAACCCTTAAGGGCTTATGGTTTAGGGTTTAAGGGCTTAGGGCTTAAGCTCACTAAACCCTATGTTCTTTCCATGTTCCTTTCAGTTCTCCCTGAAGAAACCATCATGTCTCCCTACATAACACCTGTGAATCCCAGTCCCTAACCTCACCTGAGCCCCAGGCGGAGGCGCAAAGATCTCCGAGGTCAGGCCACCTCGACCTTGCTTTTGCTACTGCTTAAGGTTTAAGGTTTAGGCTTTAGGGTTTAGGGTGGTTAGTAGGGATGGAGGAATGGAAAAGAAAAATAGGAACTACTATAGTGCAGAATTCCCCTAAATATCCCTGAAGCCACGGAAATCCTCAAATACGGTATATAGGAGCTGTATCAGCCGTAGGAAAATATGGGGAAATGGAAAACAACATGGCAACAACTTTTCATATTATTGAGGATTACATAGGTTTTCGGGTTGCCTTCCTTCGTTCCTTGCTAGCCAGAAGCAAGTGCCAGGCACCTGGCGTTTTGAATGCTGAGCTGAAAACTGATTTTGGGATCGCATTAAAGGTTTTTTTGGGGATATACAAGGATCTATACCATAGGTCCCTTTAAACGGGTTCTAAGAGACATATATGCTCAGGGCGTCCAAAACATTCGGGGTATTCCGTTCTCATTGGTATAAAGGTTGCTCGATTGTGACAAGTAGTAGGCTTTCAAGAAACGCACTGTGCTTTGCCCTAGCCAGGTAGGACTCTTCTCTCCAGACTTTCCCTAAACCCTACACCCTAACCTATACATTTTTCGCCCATTGTATAAATTGAGACTTTGTTTCTTCATGGCCTGGATGAACCCTCCGGAAAACAATTTCCGGCCCACCCCCTGGTAGGGCTTGTGGTTTAGGGTTTTGGGTTTCGGGTTGAGAGTTAGTTGAGGGGTGTTTTGCCTATGGTTGACAGCAAATCACATAGCTGACGAGAACGGCAAATGTCCAGATTGTGTCTGTCCTTTGAGGCCTTAGACCAGTCCCCAAAGCACCCATGCTGATACAAACGTCAGCACCATCAGCGGTCTCTAAGAGCAAGATGAACTCTCCTTGACATTGCACAGCCGGACACCCTGATTCATTCTGTCCCCCTGGAACCATGGATTGGGGTTTAGGGTTGCAGAAGGAAATACCCGGTGGCATCTGAAAGATTGTAGATTACAAACGGGCAGCAGCACTCATAGAATTCGCTTTAATCCCTTACCCGTGATATTAAACACAGCCCGGCACCTAGTATTCCAATTTTCCATATGGAAGGCCAAATACATGTTCAAGGTGAGGGCGTGGAGGCATCTGATACTACAGTACAGGAAAGTCATTATGCACTATTTGAAGAAATCCCTCTTTGATACCTGCGGTATTCCTTCATTATCCCTGCAGCGCCCTTGCATAAAGGATTACGGTTTTTCTTTTAACATCTGCTTGGTGATCCCTTGACAGGGTTTTACGGTGGAAAAGGGCCCATGCTTTGCAAATATCAGCTTTGAGAAACACTTATGGCATTATTAAAGGGACCCTAATGGAAACCCCAAACAGGGAAC